TATATGCATACACATACTCAGACACAGGCATGGACATGCATGTGCATGCACACATACACAGTGGTGAGGTGGAGAGGGAGACACGCTAAGTTTAGGGCTTTCATGTATAAGTTGTTTAACGAAGGCAAAGCATATATGAACAGCTTATCTGTTATTTTTAACACTTTAGTTAAGATATGTCTTTCATGCCAAAAAGTTGAACCAGCCAAAATGTACAACTCAGTTGTTTTTAGCATATTCATGACATTGTACAGCCATCACACTTCAACCTCCTGTGAAGGCTATATCTTACTGATTAAAATTTCGGTTCTGTTTAGCTCCTTAGTAACCTGCAGACCTTCATTCAAGAGACACAAATGACCTCTGCTTAGTAGAAAGGGCTATCCCAAAGCACGTGAACTGTTTCGGTGCACTGAGACAATGAACTGGCTTTCTACCCAGCCTGGTAACATCACTCCAGGATTCTTTTCTCTAGTGACAGTTTCTTTTTCTAATTCTCATTTGAACCAGCTTCAGCATCCTGAATGCTCCCCCATTGGTATACGAAACTGATTCCTATGTTTGCATAAGAGTCATGGTTCATGCTTTCTGAAACACGTTTTTGACAACCTGCATACTGTTGGCATAATGATGGGTACAGCATGGTGGGCAATCACTAAATGGATCTCAAATGCTGGGCAATCTACCTGATTTTAAACTCTGAGAGTAGAGGGTACATGTCCACACAGTTTAAATATCAGGGAGTTAATGATTTTGAGTTTTCATTCGCAGGTTATGGAATTCTGTGCCAGGATAAGATCTGAATAAAGATGTATGTATGTATGTATGTATGTATGTATCCAGGCTTGAATCACCGTTGTTCTAAGAATGTAGTTTTACAGACATAATATTCTTGAAAATCTGTAAACTGGAAGTATTAATTCCTTTTGTGTAGGTTCTAGGCTTGGTGGAACAAAATGTGTCTGCCTAACCTTCCCTACAAGTCAAATTCTGAGGCAGGATAAACAAGAAGGAAAAATTAGGAGGACACAGGAGGAGAAAGGAACTCCTCACTCTGGAAATCTGGATGTGAGTCTGAAACTTTTAACACAACAAATACAATTGATGTTGCTGACAGAGACAGCGTTTAACATCCTAAAACACCATAAACAAGATGTTAAAAACGAGCAACCTAGTGCCAGAATGTCCAAAACCTTGAATTTGTCATGTAAGCATTCCTCTCTTACTCCTCAATCTAAAAGATGCACTTTATAAAGCCACCATACAATTTCATTTTATATAAAAAAAATTTAATAAACTAGGGCCAGAGAGCTGGCTCAGAAGGTAAAAGCACTTGCTGCCAAGTCTGATGACCTGAATTTGATTTCAGAGGATGAAAGAAGGGAGCTCACTCCTACATGTTGTCCTCTGACCTCTACACGCACAATGTGGCAAATGGACATATACACATATGTAAACAAACAAATAAAAAAGTAAATAAATAGTCCTTTAAAAGATGTGAACCAGCATATGCATTTTAAATATGAAGCTTTGCTTTACTTAAGTATGAAGTTTTGCTTAATTGTTTTGGGAATTCATGCTTTGGAAATTCAATTTGGAAAGCCACAGGAATACAGGTATGAAGACTGCAATGGTACTTAAGCATGGCTCTCTCTTGAGAAGCCTGCACCCTCATCTTGGATTGTGTACTGTCCTTTTCCTATGGGATTCCATGACTTAAGAAACCCGCTAACTTTGCTTCATTATGACTCATCCTGAACGCCTTCTATGTGTTCAGGATGTCAATGATCTGGCTTTATTTGAGGTGGGGAGGGAAGTATTCGGGCTGCAGCAGCTGCCGACAACCCTCCCAGTAGTTTGCCTTAAACGTGCCAAGCACGTTCAGCTGCAGGACTGTGTTTCCTTGCTATACCTCCAAGAGGAGCTTCATCAAGTTCATCAAGTTTGACTGCTGCCTGTTTCCCCCTACCCTCTCCATGCCTTTGCTCAAAGGTCATTTCTGCTCCTCCTTCTCCTCCTTTTTCCTTCTTCCTCCTTTTCTTCTCCTCCACTTCCCCCTCCTCTCCCTCTTCTTTTTTTCTTCCTTCTCCTCCATTTTTCTTCCTTTACTAAAATTAGATTTATTTTTTCATACAATATAGCCTGATTATGGTTTCCCATCCCTATACTCTTCCCAGGCCCTCCCTACCTCTCCTCCCACCTGGATCCACTCCTTTCTGTCTCTCATCAGAAAAAAGAAAAACAAACAAACAAACAAAAAACCAGGAATCTGGGGGAATAATGATAAAATAAAATAAGTAAAAAGACAAGCAAATCAGAATATGACAAGACTACCAAACAAGAAAAAGAGGCAAAGAAAAAGCACAAGAAATGCATATAGGTGCTGATACATCACACCTGCGTGCTCAGGGATCCCATGAGAACCTGAGACCTGTTCCTGCCACATCTTCCTTAGTCCTCTGCTCCTGCGCTACCTGGCAGCACTCCTGCCACACAGGCCTACTTCTCTTTCTCCACAGATCTTACCAGCATTGTGAATACTGTACCACACACTTGATGGGAGATGTCATACTATAAATATGTTTCTCTTATTGGTTAATGAATAAAGCACTGTTGGCAAATAGGAAAGCAAGATAGGCAGAACTATGAGGCAAGGAGGATGCTGGGAGGTGTAGAAGAGAGGAGTCAAGATGTAGGTCATGAGAACAATAGGAGGCCTGGACTCTCTCTTTCTCTGGTAAGACCATGTGGAACACTTAAATAGAAATGAGTTAATATTTACGACAGAGCTAGCCAATAAGAAATGCTAGTAACCAGCCACAGAGACTAATAGAGTCTCTGTGTGTAATTTGGGACTGACGCAGCTCTGGGACCAGGCTAGTGGGAAACTGCTCGTAACCTCTACAAAGCTCCACAAGACCAAGTACACTTGTCTATCTCATCCATGGCTGTTTTCTCAGAACAGGGTGCAGCACAGAGTATGCTGCTAATGAGGTTAAACTGAGCCAATTAAGGTTACATACTACTTATATATTTACCTTCCACTAGTGTGACCCAATCTAGTGTATGTTTGGGGATTAGTATTTTCCTCATCCCCTTGTGACCTCAGTGAAGTTGCCTAACTTCTCTGAGCCTTGATTCCCCCCTCCCCCTGCCACCCTGTACAATAAGGATGCTAGTCTGACCTACATTTTATAGGACTATTTTGAAGAAAAATATTTTCTTAACATAAACTGATTAGGACCATGCTTGACTTACACAAGTTCTCATTAATATGACCATGATTTGTCTATTCTAGAATTGTTTACTCTTATTAGGTGTGTGTGTGTGTGTGTGTGTGTGTGTGTGTGTGTGTGGTGTGCGCACATGTGCATATCATGAGGAATGTGTGGAGGTTAGAGGGCAACTTCTGGGAGTTAGTTCTCTCCATGTGGGTTCTTGGGATTAAACTCGGGTCACCAGGTTTAGCAACAGAGGCCTTTACCTACTGAAGGATCTGACCAGCCCTGTCTTAATTAAAAAAATAAATAATAAAAATCCAACTCAGAGTTTCATACATGCTAGACAAATCTCTCATTTTAGTAATACATCTGTGACTTATATATGAGAACATATATTTTATAATGTGTAAAGTATAATATACATTGTACATTATATGGGGACAGGGCCAAGTGGGAAAAGTGAGTTAGGAGGGATAAATTATTTCTTAGTCAATAAAATCTAGTATCATTGACTTTTAATCATTATTCCCTTACAAGCCACTGTGCTACTCTTTTTGGAGAAGTAACTCAGTATCTTCAGAAAAAGTATTTTAGTTCTTCTGTGGTTAAAAAAAAAAACTTTATTTTTTTTAAAAATATTCTTCTCTTATTGGTAATGAACAAAACACTTGTTTATTCATTTTTTTTGCTACAAAAATGCATGGAAGAATGAGCCTCAGTAGACACGGGTCCATATTCACTAAAAAGCTACTGTGCACTCCACACTGAGAACAGAAGAAAGGTTTTTCTGTGGCTTGAGTTTATTTCAAGATCTTTACATAGCAATCACAGGGTGTGGGTTTATTTCAGAAGTACTTTGCTAACTGGAGGAGGGGGGTTTTAGCTTTATCACCTTCTGCCAACTAAAGAAAAAACTCCAGAAACACGTTTGCTACAGTTTCTCTGAAAAACCACTCAGAGAACCATTCAGGAAGGCATGGGGGTAAAGTGGCATTTTGGGAAATCCTACTGTGATCGAATCCCTGCGGTTCCCAGTGACACCCAACCCCACACACTGCTGACCACCAGCCTTGCTGTGTGTAAAAAACAGGAGTCTTACAAGTTCCTAGCCTGTCAGAGAAAATTCTCACAGCAGTTCCAAGACTAGCTTAGAATCCAGCCCTGAACTCTGACCTCAGGCAAGATAATCTGTAGCCTTGGTTTCCTCGATGTAACTTATGGCTTTGAAAAATTAACTTTCCCTAAATGAGTACATGGCCAAGAAAGTTGTATTGATAAAACTCTGGTCCTGACAGGTCACAGGAGCAGCGGGGAACCATTCCTTTAACCACCTTTGAGAGCCTGCCAAAATTGTGCTTTTACACATGGAGACCTTGGTGAATCATAATCCAGATGGGGTCCTGCCATTAGCAAACTACATTCCACCACTAGGATTATACCCCAGGAAGTCATTTGGTTGAAGGAAAAATGTATTTGCAGGAAGATGGCCCTTAGAGGAGTGTAATGTGACCAACAATAGAACTGGAGATACACATCCTAGATGTGGATGTTGACAAAAGCAGATTGGCTTATAACTCAAGCATCCTATAGTCCAATTTTAAAAATGTCCAGCACACCCACACATACACTCTGGCAGGGTGCAACCTGTCCCCCATGAAGGTGGTGGTGTGGCTGGGGTCAAGAAGAGGCTGCTGATCCAGCTTTGAGGGGGGTGACTGCTTGGAGGCCAGGACAAAGGGGTGTGTGCTGGTGACAGGTCACAAAGGACAGCAGAGGATAACTGTGCAGACATGAGGAGATGTGGGCAGAAACCTTGCTGGGAGATGGGCAATTGCCTTCACTCCCTCCCTCTCTTGGGGACACGATTTGTGGCTGTCAGTGATGCCTGGAATGAAGAGAACCATGAGCAGTGAATGTTTGTTACCTTATTACACTGCCCACAGCTACCGATCCATGGGCGTGTTCAACACCTCCATGGGAAACCTACAGCGACAACTGTACAAGGGAGGAGAGTATGATATTTTCAAGTATGCACCGATGTTTGAGAGCGACTTTATCCAGATTAGCAAAAAAGGAGAGGTGATTGATGTTCACAACCGCGTCCGAATGGTGACTGTGTGCATTGCATCCACCAGCCCGGTTCTCCCACTACCTGATGTCATGCTGCTGGCCCGACCAGCTAAAGTCTGTGAAGAACATGCCAGGCGGGCCCGGTTCATCAAGGGGAGAGGCCGCAAGCCTTCGAAGACTTTAGAGCTCACCAGGCTGCTTCCTCTGAAGTTTGTCAAGATCTCCATTCACGACCGTGAGAAACAGCAGCTACGCCTGAAGCTTGCCACAGGCCGAACGTTTTACCTGCAGCTGTGTCCCTCTTCTGACGCACGAGAAGACCTCTTTTGCTACTGGGAAAAGCTTGTCTATCTCCTGAGGCCACCGATAGACAGTTGCAGCAGTAGTCCAACACTTCACACCGGTGACACATGTACCCCGGAGGAAGACAAAAGCCTACTGGTAAGTTTCTAAAGACTCAGACAGGGTGGGGAGCTTTGGAGAGCATCTCAGAGCAGGTCTCACAGACATGCAGGTGCTTTCTGAGGCCCGCCTGGGAAATGTGCTATATTTGTAAGGGCCCTGTGCCAGCACTAGGGACTTAATTATATTCTGGGAGGCTGAACTGCTTCTCTGAAATGTCTCATGGGGCTTAATGTCAGGGGCATGAACTGTTGGTCATTCTGCCTCACATCCAAGACTGTAGGTGACCCTTACAACTTCCTGATGGTTTGGTCTTAAGCTCTTTACACACCAACTCAGCCTCCTATGTTGTGGAATATTGTGTAATATATAACATGAAGGGAATAGATTACATATATACTCTCTTCTTTTGGATGCAAGGTCTCAAGATGTATCCCAGCCTGGCCTTGGAACTCAACCTACTATGTAGCTCAGGCCGGCCTCGAATTGCCTCAGCCTCTCAAGCATCGAGATTGCTGGCAGGTGCTACCACACCTGACAAAATTACATTTTACATTTTGACTGAAATATATTGATTATATATATTAATATGGTATACTGTGACATATTGATACTTATATTTAATATTTAGTGATCAAACTTTGGTGGTTGGTATGTCTATCACCCTAGATACTGATCATTTCTTTGTGATAGGAATATGGAAAATCCTCTCTACTCATTATTGAGATCAGATTAATGGTTGTCAATCATAATTATCCTTCAGGAACATAAGGCATCGGAAGTTACTCCTCTTATCTAACTGTATCTATTAGCCATATTCTGTACATTCCTGCTCCTCAATAACCCTCTCAGGTCCTAGTGCCCACTAATCTATTTCTGAGATCAGCTTTTTAGTCTAGAACACTTTTTAACTTCCTTCCCTTGAGCCATGATCTGTCACCCTGTGCCTATTATGTGATTTTGTTTAAATAAGCACAATCCCCATGTGTGTACTTGCACAACCGGTTTCAAGGCCATCAACATGTCTAACGTATCCCTAACCCAACAATTCCATTTGTAGAAATGTGCCTAGCAAAGACAAACACAAATGTGGAAAATACATTCTATAACAGTGCTTCCTTTTGCCCTAGAATTGCTGAGGTGCAACTGAGTGGCCATGGACTGAAGTGCAATGGGAGGGATCTTCTAATAAATGGGAATTCAGATGGGATGGTTTCAATAAGAAGCCCCTGGGTTACTAAGCTCTGAGGTGAGAGAGGACCTGAGCATTCTGGCCTCTCCATCATCTCTATCTCACTGTTTATACTCCCCTTGGCACAGGGCTCAGATATCCACGGAGAAGGGGATCAGGATTCCGGGCTTCAAAGGCTTCGAGATGTGTCAGGAACCACCTCTGCTGCATTTGCAGGAGGAGAGGGAACACAACCAGCTATTGCAGCTTCTACAGCCGTTGGTAGTCAAGGATCTGCCAAAGGGGTAGCAGCAGGGGCAGCAGGTGGCACAGTGGCTGCAGGAGTAACAACAAGCCCCTCAGCAGGTGTGGCAAAAGTGGGGGCAGCTACAGGCTCTCCCTCAGGTGCTGTAAGCATGGCAACAACCAAGTCTCCAGGCTCATGCCAGATAATCACAGCCCTGGCAGGAACAGCCAGCAAAGATTTGGGAGGAAATGGATCCAGCAAGGCCCTGGCAGCTGTTGCTAACATATCCTCGGAAGATATAGATGTGGTCTTGGCAGGAGCTGCCAGCTCCTCCTCGGAGTCCATTTCTGCCGGGGGTGCTGCCAGTGCCACTGCAGACAGCAGCCTAAGTGTGGCATTTGCGGGCACCATGACGACCAAGGAGCCTGCTGCAGACAAACCTGAAGCCCCACTCGTGTCAACCTTGCAGAGTGAAGGCTACATGTGTGAAAGGGATGGAAGCCAGAAGGTTTCTCACACTGGCTCTGAGGCCCAGAAGGAAAAACAGGAGAGGCGAGAAAAGAAGGACAGAAATTCCAGCAGGAAAAGTTCCCATCACCACAGGTCGGGGGCAAGTCACCGAAGCTCAGGCAAGGACAAGACCCGGAAATCATCTTCCCACCGGTCTGTATCTGGCCATGGGAAAACAAGAGAAGACAAAAAAGAAAAAAGGTACAGCAGTTTAAGGGGCAAGAGACATGGCTCTTCTCACAAGAGTGAGTCCAGGACTGCTCAGAAACCCAGCAAGAGCCGATCTACACCTAGCTCGGGGTCTGTGAGTAAGAAATCCAGTAAGATTAGCTCCTTTTTGAGGAGCTTCATAATAAGGCCTACTTCAAAACTAGGGCCCACCTCACGTGATAGAGGAGGGGTAGACATTGTGACAAAGACAGTGGAGAAGCACAACATAGAGACAAAGATGGAGAAAGGCAAGGAGTTAGAGTTCAGCGGCACTGTAACTGAGACAACGGAGAGGATCATCTTTGAAACCAAATCCATTTAGTAAGATCCAGAGTGGGAAGCTGCGCCAGAGACCAGGGCTCAGGAAAGCAGTGCTGGTGAGCTCATTCCAGCTTCCTTGATGGCAATTCCAGTAATAAAGGTCACATAACTCGAAAAGAATCCTGTCTCCTGTTTGCATTTCTGTGTTGCACACCCTGGCAGTGACTTCACAGTGGCTTCTGTGACATTAACTGCTCTGATGAGGTAGAGCGTCTTGCCCAGAGGTCCAAATGAGCCAAGGTTGAAGCATTAGTGCCCTTATATCTTTGGTTCGCTAATTAGAGCCCATGGATCCATTCTGTCCTCCTTCCCAAAGGCTATTAGTCGGTAGAGGCATTCAGTCTAGTGCATATTTGAGGGAAGACAGGGCAAGAAGATACAGTGGCCTTACCAGGAAATTGGCATAGGGAAATCTATGATCTAAATCAAACCTCCTTAAACTGTGGGTGCAAATCCTAAATGCAGGCTGGCAAACAAACGAACAAAAAATATCACTGGCAACAGTTAAAGTTTTCTCAATTTATAAAAACAAAAAGTTCAAAATCAGAATTAATGAAGGAGAGATGACTTTGGCAAAGCAAACTTGGCTCTGAACACACAACTAACACACTCCACAATGTACACACTATCATACCAAGCCACACCAGTCAAAGGTGTCTGATTAAAGGTTAGTGTAAGTTAGGAGATGAAGACTTTTTACAATAGTTTTCTGCTCTCATAAAAACAATGGTTTAATTAGAGAAAACAAAGCCTTTCCATCGTTTCCCACCCTCACCCCTTACCATATAAGTATCTCTGGACTGCACTGTGTGAGCATGTGTGATTTTGAATGCATTTTGACTTGAGATCAGGACCAGTTTCCCACAATTTCTGAAATAACCCTGGACGTATTTCTGTCATGTCTTAGTATGTATTCATGTGAAGTATCAATGAGCAATGGTTATTACAAAATCAAAATATTGGTCAAGTCTGAAAAATGTTGAAAATGTTCCACATCCAGAAGTATCAAATATCTAGTTAAGATGACGTTTTAGAGATTTGTTTTCATTATTTTAAATCATGTGTCTATGTGTGGGTATGTGCATATGTGTGCAGGCGTGCTTGGTGGCTAGAGGCATCACATCCTCCTAAATGGAGTTTCAGGCAGCTGTAAGCTACCCAATAGGAATGCTGGGGTATGAACACAGGTTATTTGCAAGCAGGGCAAGTTTAAGCATTATGCCATCTCTCCAGGCCCAATATTTAATTTCTATGTAAAAACATTATACTTATCTCATTGATACACAAATTTGCTTTACTCTCTTATAAGCAGTAAAATTAAATGCATTTAAAAGAACTTTTTAAAATAATGTTTTAATTTTTCTTTTGAACTATACTTTCTACTATACATAATGAAATAATTGAACATCCATCTCTTTCAACATACCTCATATCTTTCCCAACAGGTCACCCTCTCAACTTCATCATATGTATGTATGTATATATGTATGTATGTATATTTATAATTTAGGAAGTTTAGTTAGTGCTGCCCATATCTGCCTGGGTATGGGGCCATCCCCCAGAGCATGAGAAGCCTATCAGTGGCCATATCCTCCAACAATAATAATTGTCCCTCTCCAAGCAGCTGTCAGCTGCCAATAGCTTCCCAACAAGGCATAGGGCCTGGAGCTCACAGACCCCACCTATGCCTTAGATTGGGTGTGTCGATCATGTATGGGTAACCACAGATGTCATGAGTTTACAAATGTGACAGCCATGCCATGTCCAGAAGACAGCATTTTATAGCATCCCTCATCTTCCAGCTCCTACATTCTCCCCTGTTCACCATACACAATGCTCCTTGAGCCCTAGTGGTGGATTGGTATAGATGTCCTATTTAGGGTGAAGCACTCAGAACTCTTGTTCTGAGAATTTGAACCAGCTGGACATCCCTGAAATGACTGTTGCCCACCATACAAAGGAGCTTCTCTGACCAAGGTTGAAAGCAGCTCAGGTCTACAGATATGAACATAAATATGTAGAAGGCTATTTGGCAGCATGAGCATTTAGCCATGGTTCTACCCTAGGACCTATGACCTCCCCAGATTTTGATCAAGATTCCAGTACCACATGTGAAAATGTATGATATCGCAGTTTAATAAGGATGTGGATAAACAATTATGCCGAACAGATGTTTATTCAGGGAGAAATAACTCACAACATAGACAGGTGAACACCAGCAGGTTCCTGCTTCCAAGAATGCCTCCATAAGTCCTCCTGTCCCCATGCAGCTTGCAAGAGAGCATTCCTGCACTCCTCTTCAGACCTAGTTCCACAGGTCACTTCTGCCCCTGGCTCCACCCTCCAATGGGTGTGGTCAGTGCCACAGGAGACAAAGTGAATATCCCACTACAATTCCCCTTTTAGTCTAAAGAAAAGATTTAGGCTTGATACAAAACTATATACAAAACAGTGAATAACAAGTGTGCTCTAAGAAAAGGAAAATCAAGAACAAAACGACCTATATACCTAGTCCTAGGGTGAAGGCATAATGGAGTTTACAATAGAGTTGTCCTAAGCTGGAAAACTTAAGTCTGGTACCTAATATATTTAACTAGGAAGAGAGAATAATAGTTGTGATAGTTTAATCTCCAACCTCATCAAGACCTGAGAAGGAAAATAACGACACTAGGGTAGACAGGAAGTGCAGATGGGCAACTTCCAAAAGGTGCAGTGAGGACAGAAACAGCAGGTTACCTGGACAATCACCCAAGGTCTCACAGCAACATTGGTACATCCAGTTTTGGATAAGGCCAAGAGTACTTGACAGATCACAACAGCAGCAGGGATGTAGAAAGGCTGTCTTACTCTGACTTGGCAAGGTTCAGTAGTCTTCTATATTTGTCTCCTGCAAGCACATAGGACCGCATGTCCAAACCAATGGTCAAGGTGTGATGGGAGATGTCATTCTGTATATGTTTCTCATACTGGTTAATAATAAAGCACTGTTGGCCAATAGGAAAGGAAGATAGAAGGGACTAGGAGACAAGGAGGAAATAGGAAGTAGTAAGGAGGAGTCAAGATGGAGAGTCTGGAGAGAGCTGGACGCCAGCCGCCTCCCCGGTAAGAGAAGGCCATGTGAAAATACATAGATCAACAGAAATGGGTTAATAACTAAGGCAGAGCTAGCCGATAAAAAACAAGTAACCGGGCCAACAGTATTGTACCAACAGCGGCAGGCGGAAAAACCGTACTCGTTACAAAGGTGGGGGTAGTTCTTTGCCCAAGAGGCCATTAGCTGAAGCGAGGATGAACTCCAGAAGGAGTAACAACAGTGTCCAACATATTTTCGGGAAAGTGAACGGTGCTGTCAGGAGCAATATTGTCTCATGTCAATGGAGTACTAATATTAAAACATTTAAATGCCATGTTCTGCATGTCTATGAAGTGATTAAAGATTAAGCATCTATGTCTGACTAATCTCATAGGTAAAGGAAACATGGGTGAAGACAATCTGCAATACTCAGAAACTTAGCTTAAAAAAACTGATTAAAATTCCTTGAGTAAATCAGGGATTAATACCTAAACAATATAACTATGTACATATATATATGTACATATATATATATGTACATATATATATATGTAAATCCCTAAAATAGAGGTAGAGTAGAAATGTCTAGACAAGAGGTAGAATTATAAAGGGCAGCATGATAAACATCCCCAAATATATCAATATACAAAATGTCTTGAATAAAGAAAAAGTATCCATACATAGAATATGGCAAGAATAAATGTGCATAAACTGTATCAATATATGAAATATCTTGAACATAAGTAAAAGTATACATATGTAGAATATGGTAAGAATAATGTGCATAAAACATCATAAGTGGAAAGATTTCACACAATATGACAAAAAATAATATACCATTCTTCTGGGAAGGGTTACCACAAATAAGAACATATAACAGTGTAAGCTGTATATTATTATCTCACTTTTACTCAATAATTTATAAGAAGATAGGCTAATCTACCTATATTCCATCTAAACCATATCTTTCCCAACCATACCCTATTCCTGTCTAAAAGATATACCTGAGTCTAAGCATCACCTTCCATACCCAACCCTAAGTAACTAAAACCTGAACCATGTGAGGAGAATGGGGAGGGGGAAGGAGACAGCCATGAGACCAAGAGGCCAGCAGGGTAAAGGGTATAAAAAAAATTGCCAGGTTACCAAAATGGATGGATTATATAAGAATGGACAGCCCCTGGGCTAGAGAAGTTTAGGGTAAGGGGTGGGGTATGCCAGCCATACCCTGAAACAGGTAGGGACTGAGAGATGCTGGGAGCCAGGCTCACTTTGATATGTTAAATAAGTACCCCAGCCATTTGTCCTGGGTCTGAGACCTAACACAGAGCACTGGATTTTTGATTAGAATGAACCAAGTTTGTGTGTGCATGTGTGTATAGGCTAAAGTTTGGTGTCTTCCACAATCTTCCTTCACACGTCTCACTGAAACTGAAGTTCATCTATTCTGCTAGACTAGCTGGCCAATGAACTTCAGGGGGCCTCCTGTCTTAGAGCCTAGATTTTAATGTGTTTGCTGAGAATCCAAATTCAGGTCTTCATACTTGTCCAGTAAGCACTTTATTGACTGAGTCATCTCCCTGGCCGCTGAATAATGTGTGATTGAAACACAGGTATAGTCATTGTGGTCTACGCAGTTGTCAGGTTAAAATGGTAGATCTGATCTGCTGCACATAGGTTCTAGTGTCCCCAGGTTTTAAATGTTTACCATCTTTCCCTTTAGAGAAACAGTGAATAACAAGTGTGTTCTAAGAAAAGGAAAATCAAGAACAAAACGACCTATATACCTAGTCCTAGGGTGAAGGCATAATGGAGTTTACAACCTCTGGTCTAGGAGGTGTTAACAGTTCTGATGTATACACACCCTGGAGAAACTCAGAGAAATACTTATCAGGAGCCAGCCAGAAAAAAATGCTTGCAGAAAAACA